ACAGCCATAATCCTCCTAGGTACACAACTCCAGGGACCTGGGAATCTCATCCCCATCTCCCACAGCAGTGGCAGCAAGACCCACACAAAGACAGTCTGAGCTCAGACACATCTAGTCCCACCCCCACTTGATGGTCCTTCCCTACCCACCCTTGTAGTGGAAGACAAAAGGCATAAAATCTTAAGAGTTCTAGGGCCCAGTCCACCACTAGTTCCTCCCAGTACTACCACAGATGAGGCTCTCTGGGAAGTACCACCTTTTGGCAGGAGGCCAACCAGCACAAAAATAAAGCATTAAACTACTGAAACTAAAAACCCTCATGGAATTCACTGCACCCCCTGCCACCTCCACTGGAACAGGCTGGTATCCATGGCTGAGAGACCTATAGACGGTTCACATCATAAGACTCTGTGCAGACAATCCCCAGTACCAGCCCAGAACCAGGCAGACTTGCTGGGTGCCTAGACCCAGAAGACAGAAAACAATCACTGCAGTTTGGCTCAAAGGAAGCCACAAACATAGGAAAATGGGTAGAGTACTGTATCAAGGGAACACCCCATGCGTGGAACAAGAGAATCTGTAAAAAGGATCTTCACTTTGGCACATTGTCATCAGGTTATCCAAAGTTAAGACAAATGAAAAAATCTTAAGAGCTGTGAGACAGAAGCACTAGGTAACCTATAAAAGGAACACCTATCAGATTAACAGGAGATTTCTCAGTATAACCCTACAAGCTAGAAGGGACCAGGGCCCTGTCTTCAGCCTCCTCAAACAAAACAATTAACAGCCAAGAATTTTGTAGCCAGTGAAACTAAGCATCATATATGAAGGAAAGCTACAGTTTTTTTCAGACAAACAAATGCTGACAGAATTGCCATTACCAAGCCACCACTGCAAGAAGTGCTACCTCTTGAAACAAATCCTGAAAATGCATTAAAACAGAACCTGTTAGATCCCATTTGTTCTAATTAAACTTAAGAGCTTCTACACAGCAAAAGAAACTATCATTAGAGTGAACTGGCAACCAACAGAATGGGAAAAAATTTTTGCAAGTTACCCATCTGACAAAGGGCTAATAACTAGAATCCACAAATAACTTAAACAAATTTAAAAGAAAAAAACAAACAACCCTATCAAAAAGTGGGCAAACGATATGAATAGAAATTTTTCAAAAGAAGACATTTATGTAGCAAACAAACATATGAAAAAAAAAAGCTCATTTATCAGTGGTCATTAGAGAGAAATGCAAATCAAAACCACATTGAGATACCATCTCATGCCAGTTAGAATGGCGATCATTAAAACATCAGGAGACAACAGATGCTGGAGAGGATGTGGAGAAATAGGAACACTTTTACACAGTTGATAGCAGTGTAAATTAGTTCAACCATTGTGGAAGACAGTGTAGTGGTTCAACAAGGATCTAGAAATAGAAACAGCATTTGACCCAGCAATTCCATTACTGGGTATATGCCCAAAGGATTATAAAACATTCTATTATAAAGACACATGTACATGTATGTTTTTTGTGGCACTGTTCACAATAGTAAAGACTTGGAACCAACCCAAATGCCCATCAATGATAGACTGAATAAAGAAAATGTGGCACACAAAGTAATTTATAGATTCAATGCTATCCCCATCAAGCTTCCTATGACCCTCTTCACAGAACTGGAAAAAAACACCTTAAACTTCATATGGAACCAAAAGAGAGCCCACATAGCCAAAACAATCCTAAGGAAAAAGAACAAAGCTGGAGGCATCACACTACCTGACTTCAAACTATACTACAAGGCTACAGTAATCAAAACAGCATGGTACTGGGATCAAAACAGGGAACAGACCAATGGAACAGAACAGAGGCCTCGGAGGCAATGCCACACACTACAACCATCTGATCTTTGACAAACCGAAAAAAAAAACAAGCAATGGGGAAAGGATTCTCTGTTTAATAAATGGTGTTGGGAAAACTAGCTAGCCATGTACAGAAAGCAGAAACTGGACCCCTTCATGACACTTTACACTAAAATTAACTCCAGATGGATTAAAGACTTAAACATGAGACCTAACACCATAAAAACCTTAGAAGAAAACCTAGGAAAAACTATTCAGGACATAGGCATAGGCAAGGACTTCATGACTAAAACACCGAAATCATTGGCCACAAAAGCCAAAATAGACAAATGGTATCTAAGTAAACTCCAGAGCTTCTGCACAGCAAAAGCAACAATCATTAGAGTGAACCAGTAACCAACAGAATGGGAAAAATTTTTTGCAATCTACTCATCTGACAAAGGACTTATATCCAAAATCCACAGAGAACAAAAGCAGATTTAGAAGAAACAAACAAACAAACCCATTCAAAAGTGGGCAAAGGATATAAACAGACGCTTTTCAAAAGAATACATATGAGGCCAACAAACACATGAAAAAATGCTCATCATCAATGGTCATTATAAATGTATTCTAAAAGTGTTTTCTTTGGGGATAAAATTCAAAAGGAAGCAGAAAAGTGCAGATATCAGAAGAGTCAAACGAAAAGGGAATTCCACTAAGAAAAAGAACCAAGTACTGGCTTTTCTACTGATGTCACCAGAATGCTGAGAACTAGTATATTCAGCATATCACCTTATATTTTTCTCCATCATATTATATAAAAGATGTCAGTTTCTCCAAATTCCTGGTCTGCAAACTAAACTTGTGTTCAAAACTTGAAACTGTCAAAACATGGCTGTGTTATAATTCCATGACAAAGAGAGGGTTTGTGTTTGACAGCAGGTTTTAGTTGCTGCTACCATATTTAAGCTTCAAAATGTATCCAGAGGAACTTATCAAGGACTTGAATATAAATCAAACTTTTCCACAAGAAGCAGAAAAGAAAGACAATACTTTTCCTCACACATGATCTTTAGGTTTTGACAATTGTGGAAAAATGTTGGCACATGTACTCATCAGTCTAGATTATTTTCCCTGACCCCTTGTACATAGCTGCTGTAGTTACCAAAAAGTTAGGCAGGATCTTGGTAGATTTGTTCTTTCATATTTGAACACCAGAAGTACATCACATCAATAGTAAACCTTACAACTCTAAAATGATTCTTTTGGAAAGGGTACCACCAAAGAGCTTTTCAAAGTTACATCCATTTTACTCTTTAGTAATCTTAATTGTTAAAACTGATATTACCTTCTTGAAATTCTCACATTTTAAAGTTCTGCAACACAACTTCCTCTGACTCCTCTCCTATATTTCTCTAGCTACTGCTCATTCTCTGTTACCCACACCCTTTTCCTTTGGAAAATGCTGCTATGCCTAGGGTTCTGTCACTGGCTTTCTTGTCATTATACAACCTCAGCTCATTGAGATCTATGAGTTTGCTTAATAATTATAACAGGATCATTCTATGTTGGCAACTCCCACCTCTGAGTTTTATCTCCAGCTAGAAATACCTATTATCCAATTACCTACAAAAAATATCCTCAATGATTGTTCCATTAAACTCACATTTGTCTTCCCTCTTCCCTACACTTCTCTATTCATCTGAAATTCCCTGTTCCTCTAGTATAGTATAAATGTTAGTGCACAACTTCAAAACTTATAATCTAAGATTCTCTCTGCCATCTAACATTTTACTTTCAACAATCACTAAATCGTACTAACTGTGCCTCTTTTCTGCCTTGGATTTATATTTCCACTGCCACAACATAAGTATGTTTATGTTTTCTAGTTAAACATGGCCTCTAAAACGGATGTCTTTTACAAGGGAAAAAAACCCCTACCAATTATCAATATTTTCTAAATTAAAAAAACCTATGAAAAAAAATGAAAAGAGAATAAGGGCAAGAAAAAAATGAACAATTTTAAAGTGAATAAACTGAGCTTCTTATAATTATTTCACCTTGGGTGGGTGAAAACCTCATAGTAGATTAAGACCAGTGCAAGGACTGGTGATAAGGAAACTACAGCTTTGACTACGGCCAAAGTTTCCTTTGTCTCCCAGTCTATGTGGTTACCTTTCGTCTACCTTCTAAGTGAGCGGTCAGCAAACTACAGGTCATAAGTCAAATCCAGCCTGCCATATGGTTTTGTACATAAACGTTTTTTGGAGCATAGTCTATCTATGCCTGCTTTCACACTTCAGTGGCAGTGTGAAAGCAGGCATAGAGCTATGACAGAGACTAAACAGCCTAAAATATTACCTATCTTGCCCTTTACAGAAAAAGCTTGCCAATCCTTGCTTTATACAATAACCAGAATGCCCTAATCCTCAAATCTTGTGACTTCCCTTCTGAAAACTTTCTAGTGAATTCCTGCAGCAAACATTGCTGGTTCCCTACCAAGTAGTCATTCCTTATTCTTTCTTGCTGGAGAAATGTAAGTTTACCTGGATATTCATCATCCAATATCCCGCCAAACTCCAAAAAGAGAAATAATTATTCTAAGTGAATCACAGTAATTACATTTGCTTTACCAATGCCGGGTTTAGGAATGAGCAGCTGGTGTAATCAAGCCAATAAAATGTCACAGGAAGTCCAATGCAAGCTTCTGATTTATCTTCCTTTTCTAAAAGGAACACTTGAAAAAAAGTAACCCTTCCAGTCTTTAGATACTCTCTTATGAGAACATGATGTTTGAAGCTGTTGCTAAGTAGCCAACCATGAAAGGAGATAACAACAAAACACTGCCAACAGCATAGCTGAAAAAGGGACAAGTGAGATAGGATGGTATCGCTGAACCAACAAAACAACTTTGGCTCCCTTTTTTTAGCTATTGTTAGTTAGATCATCTAATGTTTGCAGTCACAAGCAGTATATCTACAAATTTTTCCATGGCCTACGGATAAGATCTATTCATTTCAATATGTTTAAAAAGTCTTTCCTAAGCTTAACTTAGCTAGATATTCAAATCATTCCCAACCACTCTCATATTATACTTTTTTTTTGCACTAGCAAAACTGTACTAACTGCTCATAAACTCTGTGAAGTTCTCTCAAGCAGCTTACCTTTTGCACTTGCTTTTCCTTTTGAGGAATGTGTGATCTTGTTAGCTGTTCCTTCTGCCAAACATACAATCTTGTTAGATATTCCTTTTGTCAACCATCATTCTTTGGCTTCTTTACCTGGCTAATGTCTACTCACTCTGCATGCTTACCTTAATCCTACCCATGTTTTATTATAATAATATTTTAGCTAATGGTAACAGAGTGTCTTCTTCTAACAAAATTGATGTTATGACAATTAACCAGCAGATGGAACAAATCTCATTCTAACAAAGTAAATATATCTCATTTGATTTCCACTTGGGGGGAATTAAGTCAATACTAACGAGACCTTGTTGGTATAAGAATATGTAACATGACCTGTGCTTCTCAATAAGAAATTTATTTTCTGACTTCACACAGTAGGTATCTTTAAAAAATAACATCCTATTGGTATTGGTACAGTTCTTATGGATGTTTCTTCGTGTTACCAGAAAAGTCTCACTGAAATTCTGGTTTTGAAGAGTTAAGTTTTCAGTGACACAAATCACTCTGTCAGAGTTGACCTCTGAACAACAAAGGTTTGAACTGCAGGGGCCAATTATTTGCAGATTTCCTTCTGCCTCTGGCACCTGAGACAGCAAGATCAATCTCCATCTACTTCCTCCTCCTCCTCCTCAGTCTAGCCAACTTGAAGACTCTGCGGATGAAAAGTTTTATGATGATCCACTTTCCACTGAATGAAAATATATTCTTTTTTCATTATGATTTTCCTTAAAGTTTCTTTTTCTCTAGTTTATTGTATTAACAATACAGTATATAACACATATAACAATAATTAAGATATAACAAATATGTCTTAATTGACTTTATAATCAATAAAGCTTCCAGTCAATGATAAGCTATGAGTAGTTAAGTTATAGGGGGAGTCTAAAGTTATACACAGATTTCAAAGTGAATAGGTGACTGATACCCCTAAATCCCACACTGCTCAAAGATCAGCTGTAAATGTATTTACTAAATACAAATCATTTATTTTGCAGATTAGAATATCCAGTTTTACAAGTCCAATTCATCAAAGTGACTATATAGAAAACAAACTTAAAAATCTTTTTTCTTATTTACACAAAAATATAATCTAGAATTTTAGAAAATACGATAATGAATTGTTTTTTCAGATAATATGGCTTGAGATTATAAATTGCTTACAAGTAACCTTTTAAATAATTCTGAAATCTAGATTACCAAGAAAGTAATTTAAAAATATACATTCAGTTTACACAGTGTTTTTTTAAACTGCTGTTTTGTGATCACTTCCTTCCTCTTACTTTTTTATCTATGATAGGACCATTGAGAGGAATGCACTGTCAGAAGTCTTACCTGGATTGCTGTTTTGGAGACTTTTACATTTCTTGTTTGCTTTATATTCAGAAATTAGTCTGCAAATGCTATGTATAAAAATGTAGTAAATACAATTACTATTTTAATGCTGATATGAAAAACATTTACCAAATACATTAAATTCTTAGAGCATATCACACAATATCAGAACTTTATCCCATATACTTTTAGTTTTTAAGCTCTACAAAATTTTTGTAAAGCTTCTAATTAAAGAAGAAAATAGTAAAGTACTCATGAAGTGAGGCCAGTAAAACTCAGTAAATTAACATGTAAGGTTGACATAATGGAAAATGATCTGACTCATAAGTCCTAGCTCTGTAACCAACATGTATTTGTTCTTGGACAAGTTCCTTCTCTTAGGCTCAATGTCTTCTAAAGAATGAAGGTGTTGCTACCTTAGTTGTTATAAATGTTTAATCAAATAACATTTTGATGTGCTCAGAGAAATAGTAAAGCAATGGAATAATTTATTCTTGAACTTTATTGCTGAAATTATTTTGGAATTCCAAATGAAACCCATTGTATAGTTTCCCATATGTCTGAATATTAAAATGTTGTGATCTTTTGAAAATGTTGTTAAGCCTTAATTTTGCTTATTAGTTGTTCTATTATTTGTGGCTTATGATTCAGGACATCTCAATTATTTCATAGTTTGTGTTTGTAACTAAATTTATTAATAAATAGATTATCTCATTAGAATAGATAACACGACTTTAACTCTGAACCAGTGGATCTTTGTTAGGATGATACTTTCTCTCCATGGTCATCTCAACCTGACATGGAAGACAAAAACCCTAATTTTTTTAAGTTTCATGAAGGGAATGTAAGTGGGTATTTTCTCATTTCTGAGATACATACTACCAATATATTTGCACACAACACACCACGGATTACTCAGCTCCATTCTCATTTCATAAATTACCTTATACCAATGTTTTTGTAATGAAAATGTATAATTTCACTATTGGCTAGCACTTGTTTTGCTCTCACACTGTTTTCGGGGAACTTGTCAGCAAACTAGTCAGATTACCTTTTTGTAACTGTGTGAAATATGGAATGTTTCACAGATTAGTGTGGCATGCTTATGTAGGGGCCATGCTAACTTTCTTTGTATTGTTCCAGTTTTAGTATATGTGCTGCTGAAGCAGGCACAAAGCCCTACTTTTATAAATGGATGCTGATGAATCATGGATGAAGCTTGGCTCTGTTCAGTCCAACTCACCTACCTGAGACTCAGGTAATTCTGATGAATGGCTTCCTATGCGGTAGAATTTGAAGATATTTTAAAAACTTGAGGTAGAGAAGCAAGTAGCTTGGGAGATTTTTATTATTGAAAATAGATTCTTTGAGGGGCCAGCAACAAGTTGGTGCTCACTGCTCCGGGAAAGGATAACATGGGACCTTCCGCTACCTAAGAAAAGCTGCTATGTAAGATATAAGGGGGCATGGGGTAAAAATCTGGTAGCAAAGAAAAAACTTTGATGCCTTTCTGCAACACTATCTGAACATCTCTAACAGCTTAGAACTATCCCAACTAATATTTGCTGGAAAGAAGACAAACAAGGGACTCAAAGAATAACTTACCATCAATATCTAGGATTCCAGGGTAAGATGTGGGCTCCACACGAGGTTTTGAGTATGGGAGGAAGGGTCAATTTGCTCACTATGTGTGTGGGTAAAGCTAGGATGTCCAGAAGCCAGAGCAGGGTACTGGTGCTTTGGAAACAATGGCTGAGCATATAAGTATATTTATGTGAACTACAAGTTGTGACTTGGAAGCCTATGTATAGATTACTAGAAAGAATGAGGGATCTAAATCAGAAGGGGCATTGTTGTGGCAAAGGTCAATCTTTACCGAACTGCAGGAGTAGTTTCAATGGCAAAAACCAGTTAACAGAATCCATGGAAACAAGAGAATAATTAGAATATCCTCCCCTTTCCACTCCTACTGACTTGTAAAACATGACTGTCTTCTCTGGACTTAGGGGACCTCTTAGGTTCTTGAAAAATTCAAGGAGGGTATAGAAGACAGCTCCCAGGAGACAGTCCAACATTTTCTGATTAAATGGGCATTTCAAGACTCAAATTAAAAATCAAAGATGTGAAACTATTTTATCCCATGCACAGGGGTTATACTTGGAATGAAATGGAAAACATTAGGATCCCTAAGCATAAAAGTCTTTAAGAGTCTTGAGTTAAAGAATCCTGCACTCATTGCTACTTCTAACTAGTCTAGTCTTATGTTGATTTCTGGCTGATGAATTGGACTAACTCACTGCCACTCCAAACCTATCTGAACCAAACTATGAAATCTCACCTGATGTATAAGACGCAATGGTTACAATTATTTTAAGCCTCAATTTACTGTTTAGTGGCCTTTTAAACACTTACTCTTGAAAGTTATAAGCAACAGCATAGTCTTCTGCTGTCCATCCAGATATATCTTGGAAAACGACATCAATATTGTGCTGAAGAAGCTGGTAGACTACACTTGTTGATCCATTACGAGCAGCAAGTATGAGGGCTGTTCTAAAATAACAGAAAGATAATTTCATGTTTAGGAACTTTAGTAAAGTTCCTAAAATATAAATTAAAGACTACACTTGTTGATCCATTACGAGCAGCAAGTATGAGGGCTGTTCTAAAATAACAGAGAGATAATTTCATGTTTAGGAACTTTAGTAAAGTTCCTAAAATATAAATTAAAAACTATATTTATATACTTTACCAATTTAATATCTTGTCTGACCATGCAGAATTAACCAATTATATATACCAATAAACACAAGCACCTTGGGTGCTCAAGGGTTCATGTTTGTAAATTGCAATCGAAGCCAAAAGGAAGGGACAACAAGAAAGCCTCTTGTCCCACTGGGATATGACACAGAAGTTGCTAAAATAAAGTCCTTTGATGAGCAGGATACTATGCTCAGGTCACTCATCTAAAGTAGTTAAACATTTAAGTAATGAATTATCCATTTCTTCCCTAGTCTGATATATTGTAATTCAAAATCAGCTTGGGGTAAGTAAGAGCTATCTGTAGGTTTAAAACAATAAAAATAATGCTAATAATAGCCACAATAGTTTCAGTTAATACTGATAATCATGTGCGAGGCACTAAATTAAATGCCATATATATACACATTACTCATAAACAACCACCATTGAAAGAGATATTATTTTCTCTTTTTCACACAGGAAAACATGTTTGGGGATAAGTAATGTTCCCAAGGTCACACACCTAGCAAGTAGAAAAGCGACAAATTAAACCCAGTCTTCGGTGAATCTAAAGCTTATCTTTTTTTTCCTCATTGTCAGCCACCCATGGGTTGTATTCATGAAAATAAAAGTTTATCCATTTAAAGCTATCTTTTTTCCCTCTGCCCATACTAATTAAAAATAACATAAAAATACACTAGAAGTAAAAAGAAGAAAAAACCCAATGAACCCACAGTATCTCACAATAGCAATTAATAGTCACTGAGGAATAACCTAACATTAAGATCCTTGAGAGAAAGCAAGCTAAAGCAAAGTCATCCAAAAGACAAAATGATTTTCAACTCTAATTTATCTTTAACATAGTATTTTTAAAGGAAAAGTATGTAAGAAGCAGAGGTTAAAACTACCATAAGAGAGTTAAGAAATTTCAGTATTGAATCAAAGTAAACTAAAAATTGAAGTTCACATTTTTAAAACAAATAAAACCAATATGAAATCCCTTTAGTAAATGTAAGATCATATGATGCAAAATATCACCTTATCTGTTAACAGTCAACATAATAAGAGAAGATGAATCCTACAATACAGACTTTTTATGTTGCCCAGTGTAAATAATTTGTTTACCTGATGATTTGTGTTGATATTTCTCTCTCTATCCCAATAATAAGTTAATCTTATCAATTTAATATTTCTAATGAGTGACTGTTACCACTCTAGAACAACACTCAGGTTTAAAAATGAATAAAAAAAGAACTATCGTACCTTTTAAAATTATCTACTGCAGTTAAATCTGGTTTTTTCTTCAACAAAAATGCCACCATTTGCTCTTTATTCCTATTTATGGCAAGTAAAAGTGACGTAAGTTCACCCTGTAAAGCAGCAAAAACAATTTATAATTCACAAAATTACATATTTCTCAACCGAACTGAAAACCTTATGTAAGATCCTATGAACTTAAATGTATGAAGTAGAAAGTAAATAAAAAGCAATCACTTCCTTCTCACTCCACTGTGCTTGCCCCCATGCTGTTCCTTCCCTTTCAAATACCCCTCCTAGGGTGTCAGGAAGGCACAGTAGCAGACTGGAGCACATATGCCTCACATAAAGGGGTAACCTCTGCACAGCATACTGAACAGTGATATGCGCTCAAGGGAATTCAGATGTGATCCTTTAAGAAAAGCCTGAAATTTAGATCTGTGTATGGATCGTCTAAATTTTACATGTTGATAAATCTTATGGAGGTAAACTAAACTAAATCTATGGGGCACATTTAGACTACAGACCTTGTGTTTTCATCTTTGCTATGAATGCATTTTTAAATAGCTACATGTAAGGCAAATATTTGCATGTAAAATATTTCCTTTTAATTTCAGATGTTTTACCAAAAAAGTCAGGTCCAAAAATGCAATAAAAATTGCCATTAAGATTCATAATTACCACTTCAAGAACTTTTCCAACATTCATTCATTTACATTCTATTTGTATTTAACTTTCCCAGCTCATTTAAAAAGTGGATAATTAGTTCATAGGACTGCTGTAACTAAGTTATTGAAAGATACCTATCTGTATTCTTACTAACTTCATGGTTTTCAGTGTTTAAAAACTGCCATCCTAACCATGCCAAAACTCTACAAATCTAATTACATACTGAGATAGTCCATAATACAGCTTCAACTTTTAAAAAAGGTAAAAAATTTGCTACTATTCTAATGGGAGAACCTGCTTATAACAATGATTTCTTGACTGACCCACCTGAATGACAACTAAGGGACACAAAACCCTGAAAGAGTCAGCCTCTGCTTATTAAAAACTATCCCAAAGCAATTTCTAAAGACCTTCTGAATGGCAGTGAACATTCAATGGTGTCAAGGGAAAGGTATTATTCTGTAAGCTATTAAGATGTTGCAAATAATATTCATTTGAATTTCCCACCCACAGAGGTAGAGAAACATAAAAGTCAGGCTAATATTCAAAGAAGTATTTAAAGGAAGTATTTATAGTGCCTATCAAACTCTGAACTCTTTAGAAATTTCTTACGTTTTTGAGATAGGGAAATTTCTATTACACTTATCTGTTCAGTTGGTTATCCAAAAGTGTATCAGAACATCAAGGAATTTTGTGGTAGTAGCTGCTGCTGCTGCTGTTGTTAAAGACAGTCTCACTCTATTAACCTGGCTAGACTCCAACTTCTGGGCTTAAGCAATCCTCCCACTTCAGCCTCCCAAGTAGGTGAGACTACAGCCATGCACCACAAGGCCTGGCTTCAAGGAAATATTCTTAAACATCCATTTCCAGGCTTTAATAGATTTACTATATCAAAATCTTCAGGAGAGAGCTGAGACTTGTAGATTTCGTTTTACTGTCCCCAGGTTACAGTGATGCACGATTCTAACTGAGAACTAGTGCAGCAGACAATCACCTCAGTCTCATCTCTCACCCACATGACTAATTCCCTTTATCATGTAGGGATTTGGCCAAAAAGAAGAAAGAGTAAGAGACAGAGTCATTCACTGCACACTCCATTCAATGTTCCTGCCTAGGGTGAAACAGGAACTAGTAAACTCAAAATCCAACTTGATTTTGCTATTTGTAACTCCTCATCTCCCATCTTCCATCAAGATATTCTAGACTTGAGAGTGCAATTTAGATGCTTATCTAAGTGACTCTTTCTGCCAGAATAGAATAATGTCCATTAATTATGTGTTCTTCCCTCTGCTGAACTGCTTCCTACTTCATCAGCACCCATTCATTCCAATCTGGTTTCCTCAGCGTCCTACCAAAATTGATCTCAAGGCAATTTTACGACTCACTCTCCCAAACTAAGACTTATTATTCCCCAAACTGAAGAGAACCTTGTCTAGACATATACACTGGAAACAAACAAAAGAGACAAAACCCTCTTCTCAGTATTTGTCCTCATTGCCAAATCAGCATGCATATTTCTGATGGCTGTTCTTTACCCTGTCCAACCTTTCCCTCTTGTGCCCTTGACCAAGAGCAATCAATTGCTCTCACATAAATTTTTTTTGGGGGGAAAAACTGTCAACAGCAGCAAGGATTATATTTATTGTAAAATACTTTAATTTTCTTTGAGATTTAGGGGCAAATTTTGCTTTTCTGTGTCACCTTATGCTAATTAGAGGGAAAAAACGAGTGGAAAAATGTTTTAAAGTATTACCTTTCACAAATTTTGTTTTCACAAATATTTATAAGTGCATAAATAAAAGCTGCATCCTCTAGTGCTTTAAAAGCTTCCATATTTATAGTAAAATCTTATACAAATACATTATTTAAAAATATCTTCACTTAGGGAGTACTTGAGCTTCCAAATATAGAAAACTGACCCTTACATATGTCAATGGTAAAACAAATACACTTGAAATACTTTTGAAAAGAACACCGGTTGATCTATACCTGACTTCTTGCTTCGATATCTGCACCACATGCAAGCAGTTTTCCTGCCATTGGTATATTCTCATTGTCAATGGCATAGTGCAGGGCAGTGTTGCCGTACGTATCTATAATATTTGGATCAGCGCCATGTTCCAGGAGGATGTATGCACAAACGTCATTCTGACATTGCACAGCCTGTCAGTATTAGAACAAGAAATAGATTATAACTTCTAGGAAATCTTCCACATGATTCACCAACTAGTTATATTCTGATGAGATTAATTCATTTTATTCTGTGATTTTAAATTAAATCCATTCCATGCTGAAAAAGTTGACTACCATATACCTTGATCAGAGCTGTCCTGTGTTTACTGTCACTGAGGTTAAGCTGGCATTTTCTGGCCACCAAATGAGTTACCACTCCTGGATGGCCATGGGCACATGCCCAATGTAGAGCAGTCCTATTAGAGTGAGAGGACATTTTAGGCAATTGTAGTGTACTATCGCAAAACAAACAATTAAGCATTTAATTATAAACATCAAATAGTATGTTATCCCTCTGCCTTAAAAACTAATAGTTACTTTTCTGTGAAGGAAGTTCAATCTTTGTTAGCACTTATCACCCACCAAATTAAAGAAAGAGCAGGTTGCTTAATAGTAAGGGCTTAGCCTTTGGATTCAGTTCAATTTGGGCTTGATTCCTACTTTAAGCTCTGTCACTCATTCACTGCTGGTGAGCCCTTATGAGCCTCAATTTCCTCATTAGTAAGATACAGATGAGAAGAGTAGCTATCTCCCAGTGTGATGCTTACATGAGAATCTATACAGAGCATTTACAACAGTTCTCAGCACAAATAGCAGCTCAATAATCGTTAAGCATTACTACTTACAAAAACATTTTAATTAAGTAAATTATTACAATTATACCTACTTTGAAATATGTTTTAAGGATTAGAGGTATCACTATATTTCAACTAAGAAGCTCAATTTGTCACATTTTAACATTTCTGACTTTGGAATCCTGCTTATAATTCATGATGTATTAAGACTATCATTGGCAGCATTTCATTTTATTTATTTATTTTTGAGATGGAGTTTTGCTCTCGTTGCCCAAGCTGGAGTGCAATGGGGTGATCTCGGCTCACTGCAACCTCTCACTGCAACCTCTGACTCCTGGGTTCAAGCAATTCTCCTGCCTCAGCCTCCCGAGTAGCTGGGATTACAGGGGCCTGCCACCATGCCCGGGTAATTTTTTGTATTTTCAGTAGAGATGGGGTTTCACCATGTTAGCCAGGCTGGTCTCGAACTCCTGACCTCTGGTATCCTCCCTCGTTGGCCTCCCAAAGTGCTGGGATTACAGGTGTGAGCCACCATGCCCAGCCTATTGGCAGTATTTTAAACATTTTCTTACTGATACATAAAATAATGGGGCATCCCATAATTCATAGTGCCTTACACTGAGATATGGTATATAGAACAGGCAGCTCTACTCATATGATTGGTATCTAAATACATTTCATTCTTAGAAGTACCACAGAAAAAGAGGGCTGAAATGAAAATAACAACACATTTTTAAAACAAAGTAATTCTTACTTTTTCGGAAAACTTAAAGCCAAAGAAAACTCAGGATTCAAATGAATAGGCACACCTATTTTGTTAATATTTAGATTTATAGAATGTATTGAATCAAGTATTTCCAAAAATTAATATTAGTATCTAACACTGTTGGTATTTAAACTTCTGTGAGCTAAATTTAAATTTTCAGAAGGGTATTTAAAGGTTATCTTTTACAAACATTTTCTAGCTTCAGAAATACTTTCATTTGAAAAAAGGGACTAAAAGCTTCAATTGAGATTTAACACTAATAATCCAATTTTAAATCTCTCAGCTTGCTTAGGCTGGGCAAGTAAATGAAAATTTTAATAATGGAAGGGGGTCCTGAAAGATGGAAGAATGTATCTGCTACATGAAAGTTATTTGGCTTATGTTGAAGAAATAAATGGATTGAAAGAATGAATACACAAAGCTGAGGAGTTCATTGTTACTGTTTGCATATATGTAATAAACCTGTATATAATAAAAATTATATATACAATAAAATGTATGCAGAAAAACCTACAAGCACACATAATAATGCCCCCTTTACAAGGAATGGATCCAAGATGGCTGATTAGGAGCAGCTCAGGATTGAAGCTTCCAGGGAAAGCGCGGAGGGTAGACACTGCATTTCCAGACGGATTTTTATTGCCCACAGACCAAAAGCTTCCCAAGTGGAGGAGCCCCACGAGTCGCCAGCATGGCTGTTTTGGCCGGCTCTGTGGTTCTCCGCACAAAATACACAGGTCCAGGTGCCATTTTAGCTGGCGATTGGAGCTCCTGGAAGATAGAGTCACCCATTCAACTGATAAAAATGAGGGCTTAAACAAGGAGCCAGGCCAGGAGATTCCTGGGCAAAAAAAGCACCACAAATTTCAGAGTGGCTGTTTCAGCCAGCACAATGGGTCACCGCATGGGAAATCACACAGATCCCAGAGCCTTTTCAACAGGCAACTGGAACACCTGGGAGACAGAGTCACCCATTCAACTGAAAAAAAAAAAAAAGAAAACAAAGGGCTCTGAGGCAGGGAGCCAGGTGATCAGGCTCAGCTGATCCCACCTCCACAAAAAAACAGCAATCTGAATCACTCTGCATTGAGAGTTTCACAGTAAGCACAGCTGAACCCAGGACAGTCCAACTCAGTGGGGGAGGGGCATCCGCCATTACTGAGGCAGTCCACCACTACAGAGGTAGTCCACCATTGCTGAGGCTGCCCACCATTGCCAAAACAGCCCACGATTACAGAGAGAGTCCACCATTATAGAGGTGGGCAACCACTGATAAGGCAGTTCTAACTATAGGTCTGTGGGACTGAGGATTATTCAGCCAGCCACAGAGCAACAGGACCTTTTAAGCGGAAAATCAAACTTGTACATCTAGTGACCCCACCTCAGAGGAAGACAGAATGCCAGAGGGAAGGAATTTTTTTTCTACTCTCATGATGGCAAAACTTTCTCAAGATGTAAATATCACCACAAAGCTTCAGCCAGAGCCTTTTCAGAATCCAGGCTACAGAATCACCTTCCCTTGGGATCCACCAAGGAATGGCGAGGGCTGCCCTCAGTGATAACCCCGGCCCATGGTGCACAGGTGACAGAAGGGTGAGGTGGGCTTGGAGGCAGGAAGGAACCCTGCGGAGGGCTCCAGGTGGGGCCAGAGAGTCCTTCTCTCCAGGCACACTGGTCTCTTTGAAGACAGTGACAGGGATTAATATTTCCCACCAGTTGATGTCTGGTCAGTTTTGTTCCTTTCAACAAAAAATGTAAAGGACCTCTTCAAGGAGAACTACCAACCACTGCTCAACAAAATAAGAGAGGACACAAACAGATGAAGAAACATTCCATGTTCATGTTTAGGAAGAATCAATATCATGAAAATGGCCCTACCACCCAAAGTAATTTACAGATTCAACGCTATCCCCATCAAGCTACCAATGACCTTCACAGAACTGGAAAAAAACCACCTTAAACTTCATATGGAACCAAAAGAGAGCCCGCATAGCCAAGTAAATTCTCAGCAAAAAAAAACAAAAAAAAAAACAACAAAGTGGGAGGCATCACACTACTGACTTCAAACTATACTACAAGGCTACAGTAATCAAAACAGCATGGTACTGGTACCAAAACACAGACATAGAACAATGGAACACAACAGAGACCTCGGAGGCAACACCACACATCTACAACCATCTGATCTTTGACAAACCTGACAAAAACAAGCAGTGGGAAAAGGAGTCCCTGTTTAATAAATGGTGTTGGGAAAACTGGCTAGCCATGTGCAGAAAGCAGAAACTGGATCCCTTCCTGACACCTTACACTAAAATTAACGCCAGACGGATTAAAGACTTAAACATAAGACCTAACACCATAAAAACCCTAGAAAAAAACCTAGGCAAACCATTCAGGACATAGGTGTAGGCAAGGACTTCATGACCAAAACACCAAAAGCATTGGCAACAAAAGCCAAAATTGACAACTGGGACCTAATCAAACTCCACAGCTTCTGCATAGCAAAAGAAACAGACATTAGAGTGAATCAGCAACCAACAGAATGGGAAAAAAAATTTGCAATCTATCCATCTGATAAAGGGCTGATATCCAGAATCTACAAAGTACTAAAACAGATTTGCAAGGAAAAAAAAAAAAAACAAGTCCATTCAAAAGTGGGCAAAGGACATGAACAGACACTTTACAAAAGAAGACATACATGAGGCCAACAAACATATGAAAAAATGCTCATCATCACTGGTCATTAGAGAAATGCAAATCAAAACTACACTGAGATACCATCTCACGCCAGTTAGAATGGCAACCATTAAAAAAATCTGGAGACAACAGATGCTGGAGAGGATGTGGAGAAATAGGAACACTTTTACACTGTTGGTGGGAGTGTAAATTAGTTCAACCATTGTGGAAGACAGTGTGGCAATTCCTCAAGGACCTAGAAATAGATATTCCATTTGACCCAGCAATCCCATTACTGGGTATATATCCAAAGGATTATAAATCATTCTACTATAAGGACACATGCACATGAATGTTCACTGCAGCACAGTTTACAATAGCAAAGGCTTGGAACCAACCCAAATGCCTATCGATGATAGGCTGGACAGGGAAAATGTGGCACATATACACCATGGAATACTATGCAGCCATCAAATATGAAGAGTTTGTATCCTTTGTAGGGAATGGATGAACCTCAAAACCATCATTCTCAGCAAACTGACACAAGAACAGAAAATCAAACACTGCATGTTCTCACTCATAGGCGGGTATTGAACAATGAGAACACATGGACACAGGGAGGGAAGCATCACCCATTGGGGTCTGTCAGAGGGGAAATAGGGGAGAAACAGCGGGGCATGGGGAGTTATGGAGACATAGCATGGGGAGAAATGTCAGATATAGGTGATGGGGAGGAAGGCAGCACATCACACTGCCGTGTGTGTACCTATGCAACAATCTTGCATGTCCTTCACATGTACCCCAAAACCTAAAATGCAATAAAATAAGAACATTAAAGAAAAGAAAAATAAAGTGATCTATATACTTAATTTTGTTAGTTAAATCACTTTAAGATGGTTTATAAAGTGCTCTATAAGGGGAATGATGAGTGGATCAGAAACCAGCTAAGCGTTGTTTTTGCTTTGCTGCTGATAAAGACGGCTTGGGTGCTCCACCCCTACGGCAAAGTTTCCACATCCCAGGTGCTACTGAGCCTGCCAAGGTAGAGAGCCTAGTGCCCGTGGTGACAGCACTCACCTCACCCCCACCTTGCATTCCACCGCCATCCTACCCAACTCTAACCCTCACCAGTACCCCCACTCCATCCAACCCTATCCCACTCAACCGCCACAACCCCCCCACACCCCATCCAACCTTCACTCCACTCCACTATCGACCAGTCCCCACCACATCCAATGTCCTCCACCACAGTTCCTCACCCCATTCAACCCTTAGTCCACTCCACTCCCCACCAGTCTGTCACCAACGCTACCCCCACCACAGTCCCCCACCACATCCAATGCCACCCAACTCCACTTCCTACCACAGTCCCCCAACCAACTCTACACCCACCACAATCACCCCACCCGCCCACCCAATTCTACCCCAGCCTGACTTCCACCCCATCCATGCCTTCACCCTGCACTATATCTCCTCTACCCCAAAGCCAGGAATAGGGTCTTCTCCCCTATTCCCAGGCCTCCCTTTGCAGTCCCTGACCCCGGCCATTACCTCATCTTCTTGTCTGTGTCGTTTATCTCATTTTCCCTGAGTAAGAGAATCTGGTCCACCTTGTTCACATCACCCGCAATGGCAGCTTTGTGGATCATGCCCAGATCTTTCTGCCGGATTCGGTACAAGGTGTTTGAGAAACCATAGTCATCCTTGTGAGGATTCTTCCTCCAGCTAGTCCCGCGTCTCTTGCAGGCCTGCAGGAACCATGCCGCCAACCCCATCCTAAAGCCAAAGATCTCCCAGGCTGAAGGACTGGCTTCAAGACAACTCAGTTCCCACTCGCTTTCCGCTGCTCTGGAGCAAAGCAACCGCAGGTAACCAAGTCCAGCTACAACCGCCGCCAGGGACACTCCAGTCTCCAATCTCTGAAAGCAGCACCTAGCGCAGCAGAGCCTTTAGGCATCAATGCGCATGCGCGCTAACGGCCATCCGGCGGGGCGCATGCGCGCTAACGGCCGGCGCAAAACAGACTCCCCCCCTCCCCCCCCACCACCCCCTCCTCCTCCCCTCTGGCGGAGAAACAGCTCTGAGGGGCGCTCTCACGGGCCCGCCTGTAGGCCGGCCAGGCCCTCTGGCTGGTAAGAGGGCTCCCTGGAGCGCGCTGCCGTCCTGCCCCAGGTTTCCACTGACTGCTCTGCTTGTGCCTGCTGCTCGGACCTGACCCTGTATGCTCAGCAGCTTCTCGGATGACTTTCTTCTCAACTAGGTATGAATGTCAGGACTGTCGGGGTCCTGCGCTGCTTGTGGCTTGCAGCTTCCTGTCTGGGGCTGCCCATGGCACCACCTCCACCGTGCACCTGTGCTGCAGCACCTGGACAGCGCCAACATTGCAGCTAGAAAGCCGGGCAGTCGAATAGGCATGTCTTTGCGGTGTGTCACAAGCGTGAGCGCTGAGCCACAGCTCGTATTACAGTGACCACCATCTTTGTGCAACAATGAGAGTGGCCTAGCAAAGCAGGGGCCCTCTGTGGCAGCGCTTCAGACAGTCTCGCGATTTTAGGACTCTGGCAGACTGAACCCTGCTGAGAAAAGGTCCGTCGGGGCTTCAACCATGCCCAGGGCCATCCCCAAGGATCCCCACGACATTTCAGGCCTGCCCAGTGTGATAGTGCATCTCGTTGAAAGCTGTAAGCATCAAGTGGTCTCTTAGGAGAAACTTGAAATTCCTTGAACAGGATGTCAAAATGAGGAGGGGGAGAAACGGGCGCATTTCATCATGCTCCCATTCGCACGGTACTGAGGTGTAAAGGTGTAAAGGAATAAAAAAATACTGGAAAGAAAGTACTGCCTTTGGGGAAAAGCCAAATTGGAATTGGAATAAGCATTCGGAGGGGACATTGTTCTGTAAATAGAATTAAGGATGTAGCGTTTATGTCCTGAGGTTAGTTCAAAAAGTAGAGGATCAAGGAGACAAGGGAACAGAGTAGATGCTTCATAAACAGCCTGAGATGGCTTCTCTGCATCTCATACTGCTTCCTTATTTACAGCTGGTGAGGACCCACCAGCCCAAAACCTGCATGCATGAAATTCAAATTCTTACACATCTAAGTACTTTAAATATAGTCCAAAGAAAACTATGTTTATCCATTTAGAACTTGCCTCCTTTACATATTCCACAAATTTTTACTTGGGTGATGGTAGACAATTATAGGATTGGGTGGCATGAATGTAACTGACAGATCTTAAACGTGCAAACTTTAGGTCCCACTTACTCTGGTGGTTTAAAAGTGAATAGCACCTTCCCCTTCTTTCTCTTCAGCCTGCTTCTGGCATGTAAAATGAGCTTGCTTCCTCTTTGCCTTCCACCACGATTGTAAGTTTCCTGAGACCTCTGCAGCCATGTTTCCTGTACAGTCTGCAAACCTATGAGCAAATGAAAGCTCTTTCCTTTATAAATTACCCAGTCTTAGGTACTCCTTTATGGCAGTGTGAGAATGGTCTGATACAACTGTGGTCCATCCTTTTTTTATTGTAAAATATACAAACACAAATACTGATATAAAAAACATAAAAGCACAATGTAAATTTATAGTAAATAGAATTAAAGTAAGGTGAACATTTATATAATTCACCACCAAGTTTCAAAGTGAGACGTTGCCAACAGCTGTAGCCAATTATACCTTTTCTCCCATTCTAAGAAACCACTGTCTGGATATTTACAGTAATATTTTCCTTGCTTTTCATTATAGTATTACTATGTAAAAATGTATTATTAAATTACATAATTTAGTATTACCTGTTTTGAACTTTATGTGAATGTAGTAATATTGTATATTTCTGTTTTATGACTTCTACCATTCAAATTCAGTATTCCGTTTTTAAGATTTATGCATGTTGCTAGCTATAACTGTAGTTCCTTCATTTTCATTGCTGATGAATAATCCCCTGTATAAATACACCTTAATTTACCTTTAAATTCTATTGCTGATCAATATTGGATTGCTTACAGCTTTTGTCTATCGTGAATAAGAATGCTATTGTTTTTGGGGATATGTATAGTAGTATACCTAAGCATGCATTTTTGTAGAATATACAATTAAAGTGAACTTCTGGTCTGAGCATGTGTGTGTGTGTTTATACATATATATACTACACATATACAAATAACTTTACTAAAATTAAAAAGTATAAAAATGGAAGAGAATTTTGAAAAAGATTATTTTAAATTCTACAGGTAAATTCCATGTAGTGTTGCATATTTTGCAAGAAAACAAATGAATTGTCTGATTGAAATTTCAAAATAAAATACAAATAAAGTGTGCTTGCCTAAAAGAATTTAGCAAATACCTGTACTTTTTTCCTAATTAATATGCATATTTGCTCATAAAAGTGGCATTAATGCATCAATCACATTCATCTAAAATCTTAAAGAATAGTGCAGAAAGAAACAGGTAGAGCCTGTGAAGATTCAAAAGTAGAATATAATGACTAGATTTTTATTTCATGTAAGTTACATTTCTCTTATAATTTCACAAAGTTTGGAAGACTTGCCCAAGATGCAATTAAACAAATATCATATGAGCTTATTAAAGTAACAGTTCTTAAAATATAACTTCCATTTTTTTTCCATTTGTAAAAGTTCGAGCATGGGAAGCTCTGCCCTGAAACCAGTAAATCAAATCAGTGCTCTTGGACCTGGGAACTAGTGACTGGTTCTTTTAAAATGAAAAAATTGTAAATGTCCCCATGCTGCATCCACATGAATCCTGAACTTACAGAGAGTTAATCTTAAAGAAGGGACGACCTAGAAAACAATTCTGTGTGTCACATATACAACCTGGATGACTATGCAGCCATAAAAAAGACCAGTTTGTATCCTTTTTAGAGACATGGATGAATCTAGAAGCCATCATTCTCAGCAAACTCACACAAGAACAGAAAACAAAACACCGCATGTTTTCACTCATAGGTGGGTGATGAACAATGAGAACACTTGGGCACAGGGAAGAGAACAAAACTGACTGGGCTAGGTGGGGGGATGGAGGGGAGGGGAGGGAGGGGAAGAACAGCAGGGGGGGTCAGGGAGAATGGAAAGGGATAACACCAGGAGAAATACTTGATGGAGGCGATGGGGTTGGGGGATGGTAACAGAATAGTTTGCCATTTTAAGAAAAGAATTTGTTCCTTACATCATCTCATACACAAAAGTCAATTCCAGATAGGTTAAAAAAACTAAATGCTGAAGATAAGTTTTTAAAATTTTTATGGGAAATTGCGGGATGTTTTTATGACTTCTGGGGAGTAAAGTTTTCATAAGAGAAAATATCAAGTAAAACTGTCTACTTAATTTACATTAAAATTTAAAAGTTTTGTTGATCAAATGAAAAAAAACTTTTATTATTGATTACAAGTAAACACAAAATAGCCATCAATTGGGTGTGCAAAATTTGCACAGGCATAACTGAAAAGTGATATCGCTCTACATATATAAAGAACTTCTAAATTTCACTAAGAAAAGGTAAACTACCTAATAAAAATCGTCAAAAATACAAACCCATATATTTCACAAAAAACAGACGGCTAGCACCAAATAAAAATATATCTACCTACATTAAATTTCAGAGAAATTAAAACTAAACCACAGCAAGATACTATTTATACCCACCATATTGACAAAATAAATGTCTTGAAAAATCAAGTGTTGGCTGGCATACAGAGTAATGGGAACTCTTAAGCACTTCAAGAAAAAGTATGAATTTTAATGTATATACTTGGACATAACTTGGCATTAACTAGTAAAGTTGGAAATATGCATGTATGAAAACCCAGAAATTTTACTTTTAGGTATAAATTGTTTTTTGTGTAATGCAACCCCTGGTCATATGGATTGAGGACATGTACAATAATCTCACAGAAACATTGTTATAGCAAAAAAAAATATTCTTTTTAAACAAATGACCATTGTTAGGAAATTTTACAACTGCTATATATTCACAAAATATTTTTCTATACAAATTTCAAGTAAACTCCACCTCGAAGCCACAGTATAAATATTAAAGTGTCAAGTGAAAACAAATTAAGTTGCTGAAAGCATAGATATTTTGGAATAGCATTTTTATAGATTTTAAAATCAGGTAAAGATAAACATTATATTGTTTGGGAACGCATATAAAGAACAAGAAGAAAATAATTAACACAAAACTTAGAAATTAACTCTGGAGTAGTGAAGAGGCACTGGAATGCTTTTAGATAAGCTCAAAGTGAAATTAGCAGCAAGTAACAGTGAGTTTTATTTCTTTATTAGATTACTGAGTTCATAAATATTAATTTTATAATTTTACTACAAATATACACTGTTCATAACTCAAATTTTAAACAATGTGAAGTTGAAAGCCAGTATTTGATTATTTGTAAATGGTAGGGAGGAGGAAAGAATGAAAACTCAGCTCCACATTGGTGTTTTTTTGTTGTTGTTGTTGCTGGTTTTTTTTTGAGACAGAATCTCATTTTGTTGCTCTGGCTGGAGTGCAGTGGCGTGATCTCAGCTCTTTACAACCTCCACCTCCCAGTTTCAAGCAATTCTCTGGTGTCAGCCTCCTGATTAGCTGGGGTTACATACAGGTGCATGCCAACACGTCCAGCCAACTTGTATATTTTCAGTAGAGACGAGGTTTCACCATGTTGGTCTGGCTGGTCTCAAACTTCTGACCTTGTGATCTGCCCACCTCGGCCTCCCAAAGTGCTGGGATTACAGGCATGAGCCACCACGCCTGGCCAGTGTTTCTATTTAATGAGAGAAAGAAGACGATTTGTTAAGAATGGGTGTGGGTAGATGAGAGGGCCGACGATGGTGAATCCAGTTTTCAACTGGTCAGATTCAGATAACTGATGTACATCTTAGTAAAATGTCGGAGAATCCATTGTAATTTGAGACTGAATATGGCAAGAGAGCTCTGGGCCTTAACTTTTG